AGTGGAGAGAAATATCAAAATTTGGGCTTCTAATTTCTAAATGAATGTCTCTCCATTACACTACACTGCTTCTATTAGAGGGAATTAACTACAAATTGCCTTTTGAATAAAAAATGATGAACTGTAGTCTTTTCTAGGAGAAACTGATAAATCAAATTTGAAACAAAGATTTTAGAATTATCATGTCGTATCATAAAAAACTGGAGGGGGGTCTGATACATTTTGCACTTTGAATGGAGTCATATTTTCATCTCATTTTAGCATTTGTATTGTGGTTCTGATTGTGGAGACTAGAATGTTGGGAAACCACTCATTTTAATGATCTGATACTGATAAGCTTTCTACTGGAAAGTCCCCATCTGGCTCAAACTTAAACTTCTGCATTTTCTTAGGACTTAGGATGTGACTTCTTTGCAAATTTCCTGGAATTAGTTTTACAAAGGAGAGCAAAATACTGCTAAACTACATAAACATGGTGAAATGAGAGATGTGGAAAAGTATGTGTATAACTTCTCACAGTTCATTTTTATTACTTTCACTATGCAATTCCATTTAACATTTTCTAAAACAGCAATAAATTTTGAATAATAAAACATATGGCATTTTGAGTATGCCAAGTCAGAGATACTATTTAGGTAGCATTATATTACCAGGAGGCTCTCTGTTTAATGAGAAAGTAGCACTTATCCCTTTACAAATATTTTGGTTATAAATATACACTACTATATGTATGTATCTATAAACACAGATAATCTGTGTTTTTCACAAGCAATGTCTTTGATAATAAAACATTATGTAAATAATACTCCGCCACACACAACTTTTTTTTAAATGCATGAGAGGCTGATTTTTTACAGCAACAGAAAAAGCTAAACTCTTAAGTGGTGATTCATATATCTTAATATCTTTCAATTGAAAATATATATGTATATATCATATTACATATATCCTTACTGATTATTTAAGTAATTTTAAATATTACATACAAATGAGGTTTTAATCCTTGTTCCTTTTACTATTTGTGTATTAATATTTATGCTTCCCCTAGAAATCTACAGTGGCACACAGCCTCAGGCATATTTCTTACAGTCCAATATGTTGACTACTTTCTCTTATACCTGAAATGAATGAGTTGACTTCTCAAACTCCTTCAGCACTAGGATGAACCATGGTAGATGAGTATGCTAAGAGTTCTTTATTACAGAATACCACTGTCCCTTTGAATATCATTATCCCCATTAGAACACTGAAAGGCAATTGTCTCCTTCATTATTTCCATCAGGAGAAACAGGTCATGTGCCTAAAGTCTAAAAGGTGCTGAAAACGTGATTAAACCAAAGGGTCTGAATTAGTCTATATTCTTTTTCTCCACCTTTGATTTTTCAACATTTTTGCCAAAGCTACAGTTTAAAAATAATATTCTATGGTAATCTCTATTTTAAGATACATAAGGTATTGTTTATTAGTGCAAATATACTTTTATACATCTAAAATACAAATATTTACTTATGAGATTCATAAATAATGAGACAATTTTGTTATACATGAAAATTTGAAATCTAAGATTATAGATAACAGTTTCGGCCTTTTTTAATGACCTCTCCCTTCCATTTTTTTTTTGAGACGGAGTTTCGCTCTTGTTACTCAGGCTGGAGTGCAATGGCGCGATCTCGGCTGACCTCAACCTCCGCCTCCTGGGTTCAGGCAATTCTCCTGACTCAGTCTCCCGAGTAGCTGGGATTACAGGCGCGTGCCACCATGCCCAGCTAATTTTTAGTATTTTGAGTAGAGACGGGGTTTCACCATGTTGACCAGAATGGTGTCGATCTCTTGACCTCGTGATCCACCCACCTCGGCCTCCCAAAGTGCTAGGAATACAGGCTTGAGCCACCGCGCCTGGCCCCTTCCGATTCCTTCTAATTTATTTCTATACTGTGTTGGATTTGCAGTGATAAAAATATGGATGAATCTGGAGAACATCATTCTCAGCAAACTGACACGAACAGAAAATGAAACACCGCATATTCTCACTCATAGGCGGGTGATGAAAAATGAGAACACATGGACACAGGGAGGGGAGTACTAAACACTGGGGTCTATTGGGAGGGAAAGGGGAGGGCCAGTGGGAGGGGGAGGTGGGGACGGATAGCCTGGGGAGAAATGCCAAATGTGGGTGAAGGGGAGAAAGGAAGCAAAACACACTGCCATGTGTGTACCTATGCAACTGTCTTGCATGTTCTGCACATGTACCCCCAAACCTAAAATGCAATAAAAAATTAAAAAAAAAATCCCTTATTCAAAAGATCAGTCATTTCATAAGAAAACAGCTCTTTTTAAACAGTACATCTCATAATCTTGAGATGCCCTTAAATTAAACTGATCTGGAGACACTAAATATTATTAGCAACTTTTGTTTGTATAATGGCCATTTATTTACTACACTCACATTTCTTATATTAATTATCTCCGACAGGATGCTCTTTATAATTCCACATGTGTTACATAATAGTACGATGACATTACCTGTGTGTTTTCAATAGTCCAAGAGCATGGTGGAGACAGCCAAGCACTGCCTGGCCTCACATTATGTAAGTTGTGGCAAATAACGCACTAGGTACATATTACTGCACAATTTAATTCCGCCACAGAGTTTTGACTAGAAAACATGGTTAAGCATAACTTAACTACGTGAGCCCTCAATAAATGTTCATTATTGACAATAGTGTCAATTATACTCTTGCTTTTTGGAAAATGATTATATAATATAGGCTTATATTGGCTTGCCACTGAAATAAAGGTATATTCAAATGAATATGTATTTTGAGATTACTAAATCAGATTTGATTTTATTCTCATATTTTCATGATACAATTTTGTTATACTTCTCTTTTAAATAATTTTTTCCTGAATAAGTGCCAATTAGAAGAGACCTATGTGCCCCGTCCTTATTTCAATTTTGTTTTGCTCTTGATTTGCACTCTTCTTTACTCTTGAGATGAACATTATTTCTGGTACTTAACTTTGTGATTCTTACTTCTTTCTTCATTCTCTCATTAGACTTTATGTTTGCTTTCCCTAGTTTCTTCAACTTTTGATATATTTCAACCTTTTTAAAATGAAGAGTCATTGAGGACTTGTCCCATACGGAAGCACAGATTTCTCATTATTCAATGAGAAAATCTTTATGACAGTAATTTCTCACACACATAGAACTAAAATTAATTATGGCAGGTTCCTTAAAGAAAGAGTCAAAGGATGGGAAGGTCAGGTTGAAATCATATTCCTTCAGACTGATAAAGTGTTTTCATTAATAGAGTCCCTCATTTATACGTGTTGTCTTTGATGCTTTTTGCTGTTCCACTGCTGATTCTTATACTTTTCTTAATATTAGTATATTACAAAGTATATTTTAGTCATGGAGAAAATAGGTTTGCTGTATCAAGGACCTTAAAATCACACTGACCTGTATAACAGAAGATAGGTACTGATATTTATTAAATCTTGTTTATCTGACTATGTAAATAACTTTTGGGCTGGATGACAAGGATGGTAAAGAACAAGTGGCAACATAATTAATGACAATAAAATATATGGCTAATATTAATTGTATGGTATTTCAAAGCACCTTTTAACTTCTATTATGAGGAAGTACAGCCAAAACTTTTTAAATTTCAGAGTTCAAAATTCAAAGACATGAATACTTGAATGCTAGCTCAGGATAACAAGATAGGATTTTAGGATGTGAAACGTTTATGAAAACCAAGTGAAAGCTGTAAAGCTTCTTTAGAGCTATGGTGTTAATGTAGATTTTACATGTCAAAAACTATAAATTTAACTTTAATAGGCCTTTGCAGTATAAAATGAAATTCCCTTAGTTGGGAGTTTTATTTTGAAACACTTTTAAAGAGGCCATTGTTACTAGGTGGTTCATATGCCAATCATTATATATGGCAATATAACTTAAAAGTTTGTTAGGAAGACAAACTTACCATTTTCTAACTGCAGATATATAATGGCAATATCATAAAACCAGTCCCAAGAAAAACACAGTTATCTTCTGGCTCTAGAATTATTCCTGGCATATTCATACTTTCTGGACTAAAAAATTAATATGAACTACCTTAACAAATAAAATATTTTCTTCATATTTATTCTTTACTTTCTTATCTAAAATCAAAGTTTTTGCTATCTCCACAACTTTGATTTACCACAAATCATGCTCAAAGTTTCAAAATATTCTCAAAACTTAAAATAGTTTAAAACATGTATCATACTAGCAAAGAAAAATATATTATTCAATAACATATACATTATTTAGTAAACTCTATCATTAAAGATGCAGATACAACTGTATTTAACCTTATAAAAGTACAAATGAAATTATTGTGTTTCATAAAATCAGCTGCTACACTATTCCTCATCAGCAAGGATAAAATATTGTATCTAATTTCTAATATTTATATCACTGTATAATAAAAGCTAAATATAATAAAAAACATTATAGAATGAAGAGCACATAATTGCAACAATAAGATAAATATTTATTTTAAATTAATTATTAAATCTAGACAGTATGGGGTAACTTATTAAATTTTAACACTAACTTATTACATTAAAAATGTTTCAAGTTCATTTTTGCTAATCTTTTGTTCTCTACTCTCAGCTATTTTGCCTTTAGAAAATCCAATTTGCTTACCTTGGATGGTGATTCTGAGGAATATAGGCTCAAACAATTTGCATGGCACTGCCAACAAACCTGTTACCTAGATTAGTACATATTATCTCCTCTATTATTTCTGACTTTAAATGTATGATGAATATAATGCTTTCATATGACACACTATATATAATATGTCAAAATATAACATAATGTAATTCATTGTAATATATTAAGAACAGACATTTACATAGAAATATATACATTGAAGCAGAAACAAAATAGTTTCAAAACAAATATTGTTATCAGCTTAGTCAGAAACATTAGATAAAAATGATCCTACCTGATGAATCAAAATTCACCTCATTGCCGGGACTTGGACCTAAATCTATGGATACAATTGGTAACAGCTTCCGAAAGTCCCACAGCTTTGTAACCCCACAGGCATCACAGGATGCTATCATGTGACCCTTCAAAATATAAGATAAACAAAACTAAAATGACTATATATATATACACACACACACACACACATATATACATTACATATATACAAATAATTTTGGTAACTTACAGACAAAATGTAAATGTTACAATTTTATTACAGCCATAAGATTACATTCCTCTCAACTAAAAAGTAGTTGTTAATAACTTTATTTTGGACATAAAATTATTTAAAATGATTTTCTTAATATATGAAATCCTACACTAAGTTTTTGGAGAAAACTTTTCAGGCAAGCATTTTCATTTTAACTACTTTAGAAGATGTAACAAAACAAAAACATATACACTCATAATTTGCCTATATATACATATATCACATCATGCATATGATATATGTAACACTTAAAAACTATGAATGTGGGAAAATTATATCATATGCACATGTAAGCTTTTATCCTTGCAATTAGTTAGCATTCATAATTTATACCTCAAATAGAGAAAAAAATAAAAACAGAGATAGGAAGAAAACTGGACACAACGAGAGAAGAATATCATCATAGCAGGTAGAATGACAGGGACGAAGTGATGTTGATGGCAATAAAATAGTGCCTATTGTAGTTTGCTAGTCAAAATTCTCAAGAAACACGGTTGGGCTTGCTTTGGTAACATGTAGTGGGACAAGAAAGAAGGTAACTGGATAAAAGGGATAGAAAATGGAAGGGTGGATGAACTGAAGTGACATGGCAATAGAAGGTGGGGAGAGAGATTTTTCCAGCATAGTTGCAGCAGCCCAGGCTCATCAGTTCGGAGTCTACACACCTCCTGCTGGTCTCTCAGGAAATGCTTATTGAGCATCTACTTTATGACAGGAATTGGGGATATGCTGGTGAATAAGAGGGGTTTCTGCTCCCCAGCAACTCATAATCTTCGCTCATTCTCATCATTCTGATCATTTAATTTCTTCGTCCACTCACAAATTGAATGAGCATTGGTCACATTAAAATGATCAGTTATGTTTATAATACATCAATATATGGTTTCCAATCTGATATACAGTTTCACTTTCAGCTGCAGTTCAAATCTTTTAATGTCAACTTAAAAATCATCCTCTCATTTGCTCCATACAATTTTTAAAATGTTAAAGATAATAACATCATGTAATTTTCCGTATCATTTTGAATTAGTTCACATATTTTCTCTTACTCCTGAATTCTTTCTGTAAAATAAAAGTACATCCTGTTTTACAGTTTAAGTGGATTCATTGTTTTTCTCTAAACACCAGTAAGGCAATGAATGCAATTAGTTTCAAAATTCTATAACTGTTGCCACTGGAAGAGTAATACAACAGCCTTGTCCCAATCTAATAAACAAGATGCTTAATCTTTTTATGACTTAAAAGGAACATGGAGAACTTGGACTGTCCTCAAATATGTAAACATGTATTATAAGTATTGTGAGGAATCAGTGAATTTCATCTCAGAAAAGGAAAGAACAGTTCTCAGTATTAGCATGGAATAGTAATGTTAGAAATTAGAAAGACTTCTTTCCAAATATAAGGGCTTTCATTTATCTGATAGAAGTCAGAGAATGGAAATTTATTTCGATTTTGGGAAAAGAGTAGATAGGTTTTCATCGGAATTTAATTTGTATGCACCTGTCACTGCAAGCAGGTGATGGACTTGATGTTCTTTTTTTTGTCTGGAGTCTGTGAATTATAAACGATGTTAAAGAATATTTTATCCCACTAAATATTAAAATTTGAGGAAGTATACTTAAAATAAAAAATAGTTTCATTATTTTTATTGGTTGAAAATGAATAGGTAAATAATTTTGATTTTTTTTCATTTAATACTTAAAACTTTTATTGCTGTCAGATGATCAAGCTCAATAGTTTGATAATATGAAACTAAGTCAATATTTATTAAATGCTTTTAATGATCCAGGTATTGTGCTAAATGCTTCATTAATAAACTAGTACATAACAAATTTAAGCAATTTTGAATAACTAACATCCTTTCATTAGAGTTTTCCCATTGCCTTAGAAACTTAAAAGCCATAACAAAGTATGCATTATGGTAAAATGAATATAATAATGTTTTAAGTAATAGAAATAAACGTGTGTTTAGATTTAATAACTGAAAGATACTTGGTAATGGAAGAACAGCTTAGCTATATGTCTAGTTAGCTAGTGAGGCAGATGTAGTGCCTATTACAACATTTGGAGCATAGGCGAGCTCAACAAAATATGGTTGAGCTGATAGATAAGTAATGTTTCCTCAAAGCTTAACTTCAAGTTTTATTTTGGTCCAGTCCTTCCAAAGAAGTCTTGAGGTGAATTTTAATTCTAACCCTGATGGTTGTGAATCACTTACAAGACAGAAAGCCATGGAAGAGACAGAGAATCTGGAACAGATACTTAGAATATTCTAATGCTCTGTACCCTGGTTATTTCTCTCATTTCAAGAAAATTGGAGGGCCATCTGTCAATCTCCTTCCTTGAGACAGAAGAAACTAGAATGCTGTTAATCCAAATGGTGTAGTGTGAGTTTTGAGGGATGCAGAGATAAAGAGATGTGGGAAGGAGATTAGATGACAACCTGGGGAAAATCATTTTATATACAATTTATGACAGTCAAGCTATAGGTAGGCATTTAACCTAAATTAAGAAATATTTCAAAGAAAATGTTTTTAAGGATAAGTGAGATTTCATTGATAATCTCAATGAGAGTCAAGACTTAAGAAGTTTGGAATCTCTAAAATGCAATTCTGGTTGTCACTGATAGTAGTACTACTGATCCTGAGGATGGGAAGGTACTGAAGGTGGATGTGCAGAAAGCTCTCAAAGAAGTTCACATTGAGATCTGTGATTGTTTTTGTAACACTGAATCTTCAGCACCCAGTACAGTTCTTACTATATGTTAGGCATTTGATCTTTGAATAAACAATCGAATTAATGAATATAAAGGGAATAAAGAGTAATCAATATCGACTCTATGTGATTTAAAAGAATTTGTTTTAAAAATACAGAAATATTAACTGAGTTGAAGCTCAAAAAAAATGTTTTGTGGTCACAAGATTCAAATCAGTTAAATAATGCTAGTAGAATTTAGCAAAGTAAACAAAGGGCACAGTTGAGATGAAAATGAATAATCATCATTTCTAATTGTCTCTGTTAAGCCTCCCACCACCAAATTAAAGATCCTATAATGAGAAAACCATATAGACATGAAGTTAATAATAAATTAGAGAGTAGAGGAACATAGGATCAATCTAGCTTCATTTAGGCTGCAGCTAATTTATCAGAGAAAAAATTAGTAATAGGTATCATGGATCACAAAAATGTTCAAACTTTTGAAACTTCTAACATTACTTCTGAACTTCATTATAAATTCAAGAAAAATGTATTATGAAAAAACTAATATAGCATTATTTATAAATAATTAATGGAAACAAGTGAAATTTGTAATAATAATCTAGTAGGGAAGAAATAAACCTTGGGCTATGGTGGATTCAGAAACCTGCTTGAGGCTACTTGTACACAAACTTGGTATCAACAGCTACAGAGAGACAAGCAGACTGAAATATTATCTCTCTGCACAGAGGTTCCAAACATTTATATATGGTAAAACAAAGAAAGAAAAGAAGAAAACTGGAATGCTAATGAGGCCATTAATAATTAAAATACTATTTTATAAACCAATAGTATTCCTTAATACAAATATATCTGATGGCTTTGTATAATTTTTTTAAACAAATGTTTCAAACTTGGGCATTATCATAACTTTTAGGATTACAGGGCTATTTCTCTGATAGGTTAAGAAATATTATATAATAATATAATTTTTTACATGAAAGTCCCTATGTATTTATATTGCATCTCTAGAGGAAATAGGATATTAATCTATTTTGGAAGACTCAGGTTCAATTTGACTGTACTTTGAGACCTCAACCTGATGAATCAGCAAAGTGGTTTCTTGGTTCAAGCTGGGTTTTATATACATATATATTACATATATAATCACCTTTTTCTTTGGAAAGCCAATTTATTGAGTAATAAAAGCATTTTAGGCCCAGGATGTTGTTTCATTTCTTCAATGGTTCCTCAAGGCTAAACAATAGGATATATAAAATATTCTCCTTTCAAAGTGTTAAACTGCATACTATAAAAATTGAATGAATGATTTTACATCAACTATGTATATGTGAGAATGTTGTAAACACTAAGTGAAAGAACTTTTGTTTTGTTAGCAGTACATTCTGGTGACCTAGAATTAAATATAGTTCATGTTCATTAGATAACTGTAGAATGAGTAAATGAATACCTTAAATAATTACAAAGTTATTAAAATAACAATTATAGAACCAATGTAAAACATGGAAAAATTTATGCCAAACTGTGGTTTCATTAATTAAAAGTATATAATATACATGTACAATAAGTAAATGGGGAGTTACATTTATCATTTATAAAAAACTTTTTTATAATCCTTTAATACTTTAAATGTAAATAATACAAATAATTAAATTCCTCAAAGATAACAGTTACATATTTTTCAGATATCATTTATAAACATATTACTATTTATTTCATTATATTTTAATTTATCTTATTTTACTTCACTTTTTAATTTTATTTTTGAGATAGAGTCTTGTTCTGTTGCCCAGGGTGGAGTGCAGTTCAGTAGTATAATCTCAAACTCCTGAGCTCAGGTGGTCCTCCTACATCAGCCTCCCGAGTAGCTGAGACTACAGATACTTGTCAAAACCCCAAGCTAATTTCTAAATTTTTTTAGAGGCAGGGTCTTGCTATGTTGCTCAGGCAGGTCTCAAACTTGTGGCCTCATGTGATCCTCCCAACTTGGCCTGCCAAAGTGCTAAGATTACCAGCATGAGCCACTGTGCCCAGTCTCATGAGACTTTAAAATATGTCACTGGTGCAAGTCGTGACACCAGGAATAGCAGGGTACTAAATGTGTTTGCATGGAGAGCTCACAAAGGAGTTTACACTTAGGTCTGGAGCTCTTTC